TACCAAACCGAAATTGTGCTTGATTCACTCTAAGAGTCCCGGAACAATAAATATTATACACATTTTCAGGAGGTTGACTTGCGTTTTCGCCTTTAACGAAGAAAAATTGTAGAAAAATATCATCTTTATAACGTCACTAGCGCACTCCAATCGGAATACAGATCTCTAAAGCCAATTATTGGATAAATCAAGGATTATTTTTAGTAGACCTCTATATTGTTTCTGCAATGCTGGCCACCAACCACTCACCACTGTGTGGGGACAGAGAAATTGTTGTATCTCTGAGTGAGGGAAAATGAAGCGGCTAACAGAACAAACTTATTTTATGTAAAATTTTACAAATAATTTACATCCGGCATGTTTTTAAATCTCTTACGAATACATCACATTGCCTATGTGAAACTACTCTTAGGTGCCAGACAGGTCAATCTGTTGTACGCTATAAATTTTTTTCCTCTGACACATTCCTATTATAAACATTAAAAAATAAATAAAAAATAAATAATAAATTTATTAGCTTATCGCTTTATAGTGCCGTGTAATTTTCATAGTTAACTAATTGTTGTACATTTGAATATGTATAGGAAGTATTTTAATGCTTAATTGAAAGAAGGTGCTAACAACGAGTAAGTGGCTATCGATAATTGTAAGTCAACTACTGACAACGTTAAAAATCAATTATATTACTAATGCAAATATATAACCTTGGTTTATTGTACATCGTTGTGATTTTTTATACACATATGTAGATATGTGCATACATACGTTTGTATGCATGTGATTATTTATATTTGAATTTTATCTGGATATCCACATATAAGTACATAGAAGCAGTGTGTGGGTTTTTATTAGGAAATTGGTTCATACACATGTCTACGGTACGTCAGTAATAAAATTGTACTTATAAAATATAGGTGCATATTTTTTTTGCAAATAAATTATTTCGCTGCTGTATATACATATGTCAGTAACTGATGTATGGTACTAAAATTGAGTAATTGGTTTCAAAGCAAAAATTAGAACAAAAATATAATAAAAACAAAATATACAATAATAAAATATTAAAAAAAAAATTAAAAATTATTTTAAGCAAATTAAAAAAATAGAAAAAAATTTTAAAATAGATTTAAAAAAAAAAAAAATAAATAAATAAATAAAAACAAAAATCAGGTGAAAACTAAAATTTTATGTCAATACGTGAGGGAATTCCACTTGCTTCTAAAGAGGAGCATTCATTTTATTGTAAAAACGCTTAGTTGAAAGGAAAACAAATCAGCTGGACGCATAGACATATATAGAAATTAATTTTATAAAATTATTAAATGGTAAAAAAAGATATTTAGCCAATAATTTTTTTATGAATTTTTTTTTATTCGTTAACACGTATTATGTATGCACATACATATATTTGTGTAAGACCTATATGTATGTTTCGCATATACATATGTACAGTAAAAAATTTAATTAGAATATTTTAGATAATTAAAGTATTGTTAATTTTGTGCACATTAGTGAAAAATAAGCAAAATACGATAATTTTGTGGCACATAAAAATTTGTTTTTGCTTAAATGCCAATAAACAGTGCATTTTTTTGTTAATAAAAATAGTAGTAAATTTTTGAAATTTCATACATCCATATATATATGTATGTATGTATGCACATAATGCCTGCAACATTTTTATTTACCAATATATTATAGCAATCCCTTTACCTTTAATGGAAAATTTTAACAAGATACAATTCCAGAATGGAAAGTACATTAAAACCGGTACATTCATTGTGTACGTATAAATCTTCTAAAATTACACTTTCAAATTGCGCGGCGTGCATTTTAATTTGACCACAAAAATCACAACGGACATTGCAGGCTGATGAGTTTGTTGTAGCGAACTCCAAATGATTAGCATCAGCGTTCAAGCGCATTTAAATTGCACTTCAAACTGTCAGTATGTGCGCGTACATTTGTAAAATCCATGTATAGAATGGCAACGTTTGATGACTTCATATTAAATTTATTAGTTTATTTACACACAATAATTTTAATGTGTTATTCCCACTTTTCACACAAATAATGTAACCCCGATTGCCATGTGTCGGCTGCTTGCACTCGTTCTCAGAGGCATTACTAGTAAGAAGTTACTTCCTGTTACATTTCTGTTATTATTTCGTATGGTGTAAAATTCGTTTGCTTTATCAACTTTGCTATCGCACTCCCAACTCTTGATATTATTCGTATGTATGTATTACCATTGTGAGTGCTTAGCACAAATGCAATTCGTTTATAATTTTCATTTTGTATGCTTTGCATATTTAATTAAATGAACTGAACTATTGAACAAGCGTACTCGTTGTATGTGCGTTGTTGGTGTCAGCACAATTCGTTGTTTACAGCCGCATTATTTTTTACATTCTTCTTTACTATTTAGTGGACATTAAAACAATAAGTCACGTTGCTATGTAAAGACACACGATTCATGTGCGTGCAAATGTCATATGCACCAAAAACAAAAAAAGACATAGAGAGCAACGAGTCAGCGCAGTTAGCAGCAACAGAAAATGACAGCCGTTAATTTGTACATTTGCATGTCGGTATTAACAGCAGTCATAACAAGCATCAATGACTCAACAATTGACGCGGTGTCGGTTGTTGCTGTTGAATTTGCTGCTACTGCTGCTGCAATGCCATTCTTTTTTATTTGCAATTTATTTGTTAAAATTGCGGCAATCACTGCAAATACAAGCATATGTATGTGTATAAATATATTTGCAAGTAAAAACAAAATCAAAAAAAGGGCGTTACTGACACTGAAGTTCATTGCACGCATCTGACATATGAGTTCTGCTTGACAAACATACGCAGTTTATGTGTACATATGTACATATGTATGCAGGTGCATGCTTTTTGCTTTCTTATATATTATTAATTTATTTGCTGTGGTTATTTGCCGAGTGTACAGGTGCAATATTTATCTTCGTGGCTATAAAAATTTTTCACGGCTGCAGCAATAATCGCAACAGCAACAATAGCCAGTTTATTGATGCGCGCTGTGGTATACAATATATGTATATATATGTGCATGTGTGTATTTAGTACCAAGCAATGCTGTTGAAAGAAGGGAAGTTGATATTTGCCATTCTTATTGTGGTAATGTCGCACTTCTTGTGCGGTATTCTTATTTTTTCTTTTATAGTAAATTGTAAACAAATAAGCAGTAAATTTAACAAATAAACACAGCAAGCATGTCTTAAATGCATATTTTCCATAATTTATACCATCTCTTGCGTTTCTTAACTTACTTGTGATATTGCATTTATCACAGTCCACATTATGTACATACATACCTGTATATATGTACATACATAAGTGAATATCAACCAGAAGTCAATTAATTTGTTTACATTCATATTACTTGGCGTACATATGTATGTAAGTACCTATTGCATATTGGTATATAAATTTGCAAAGCTTTTATCAACATTTTGTTTATTTTGGTTTGTCAGTTGGGTATTTATTTTGGCTTTGTGGTTATTTAATAAAAAGGAATTTTTGAAAGCATACATTATTTTTACTGAATTATGTGAAAAAACACGAAAGACGTATTTTATGAAGATATTATGCAACATATAAATAAGGAAATGTCAAAAATTAAGCTTTTCTGAAATTAACAGCTAATGTAAATGTATTTATATAGGCATACTTGTAAACATATGCATGTATGTATGTAAATATCTTTAAAATTTTTGCTTGGAGAATATATTTTTTAAATTTTTGATTCATTAACTAATTTTTGAAATCATTTGCAAATTTCTGTTCTTTAAGGTTACTTCTTTTACATACTTTAAATTATAAATACCGATTTATACAAATTTCTTCTAACGGCCGTGAAAATGTTACTCTCTCATTATTAAACTCAAGAAATATCACCAATAAAGCATAATTTACATAGTATACTCCAAATAAATTCATTAACTAACACCATATGTGCATAGGCAAACATATACATGTATGTATATACATATGTACATTGATATCTATGTATATACACTTTTTTTTTTTAAACTGTCTCTATTTATTATCACAATTATCCACATAATTTTTATTTCACACGATTTGACATTGACATTGCATTTGCATTCGCGCTCTGCACTCACATATACACTGACTAATGCATGTACATTTTTTTTTCGTTTTGTTCAATCTAAGCATGATGAGTGATCGAGCAGACCTTTGTGACATTTCAGGCTCATTAGCACGTTTGACGGAAATGCAGCTGTCATATACTGCATACAAACAAGCTAAGTCATTGTGTCAGTGAGTTAATGTTTTTCCGTGGTTGATATGAATTGCTACAATATTATGAACATGTAGTGCATGTTAGTAAAAACTGCTTATCACAAATTAAATTCTTAATACAATTAATTATGTGAAATTTAATTGTATTACAAGTCTAAAGTCCCACATTTTATGAAGGAATTCGCTAGTGAACTGTGACAGCAGGGAAATACGCGCTATTTATTTTTTTTTTAATTTTCTTGCGGAGTCACAGCCTTGTACAATAGTATACATTTGTTGAAAAAGTACAAAAATGTATCAAAAATATTAAAAAATAGATATATTTAAAAAAAAAAAATTTGTTTTAAATTATAATTTTTGTTAAATTTAAAATTTAGTATATTTTTTTTTTTGCTTCTATAGCTACCAAAAAATACTGTAATCAAAACGAAATATTATTGCTACTTCTGTCAATCGGATGAATTTATGGGTGCCTTTTTTAGTTGAATGAGCCACATACTCTTAATGTTAGTTAACATTGTTTAATATAGATATGTTACGTTAACATAAGCGAATTCAGTAGAATATCTCATATGCATAACAGCAGCAAATAAAAACCACTATATATGCACATAAACATATTTATGTAGTTAAATTTTCTAAATTAAATAATTTTCATATTTTATTGTGTCTCTCTTTTTGGTATTTTTTGTTTTTTTTTTTAGTTAAAGTCACTGGTACTCGTCAAATATTGCGCGGTGTCAGCGGCAGCTTCCGCAATGGTCAATTGTCGGCAATTATGGGCCCTTCCGGTGCGGGCAAGAGCAGTTTATTGAATGCTTTATCGGGTTTGCGGTAAGTAGAATCATACATAATTTTATGTACATACATACATACATACATACATACATATATTTTCATATTGTATTTTATATTCGCCAACATACATGCATACTTGCATATTATAAAAGTGCATGTGACAATTTGATTGACATGCCGCGCGTGAAAGATAAGTAAATAAATAATATAAAAAAAATAATAACAGATAAAGAAGAAGAGCTGAAAGCGTAAAAAATAATAATAATAATGAACACATGGATACAAGCCAAGGTCACCAGTGTGAAGCATAGAATATTCGATATACCTATATATTATATATACATATGTATGTTTATAAAAATTTGCTAATGGTTATGCTTTTCTTCCATAAAATATCAGCAGCAAAAAACTGTTATTTCTACATAGTTCTTTAAAAACTTGTTTGGTTTTAATTTTTTTTTTTGGGGGGATTTTGAAATTTGAAATTGATTAATGTTTTCATAATTTATTTTGCATATAAATATATGTACACACATCCATGTTTATTATATACAAAGCTTCTAATTTGAGTTTCCGTGACTTGCCATTTTTTTTATTATATACATAAAATTCATAAATATTTGGCAATTTGGCAATAATAATTGCTGCTAATACAACTGGTTTTATACCTTTACTTGAATCATATTTCTTTATGGCTTAAACATTCATAAAACCTCAATATGCTGAATTAAGCTTGATTTGCGTATTAAAAAAATTATATTTGAAATGAATTTTGTTTTGTAATCCTTTATACCTATGTTGTTCTTATTGTTATTGCAACTGCAAAAAATTTCCCAAATTAGATTTTGGCGAATGTTGGCAAGTGACCGTTCTGCTAAAAAGACGTGAAGCTTCACGGAAACTATAATATTACCGCAAGTAAAGTCTTGAATCCCTAACCTGGCCGAGCATTTTCCAGCGTAGACAATCGTTTAGATACAGAACACGCTTTTACTCAAGAGAATTTTAGTTTCTTCTTATGTAATGCCATTTTCATATTGGTATTTCTGTACCTTTATTTCGGTTGATTGGGTGGAAGAATGAAACCAATGAGCTTCCTTAAGTATGAGTCTTAGTTTGATGGGTTGGTCGTTGGAAAATCGTTTGTCTGAAGGTTCTTTTTGAAGCAATATTCAGATTTTCAACACTTATGTCGCTTGTCCAGGTTGTTCAAGAATGATTTTAATCTCAATTGAGTAGCGCTCGCAAGCGTATCCCAACCAACTGTACGTTTGCGAGTAATTCGTTCGAATTTCTCTTCTTCTATGACATCTCAATCGTGTGATGGCCGATCCAGAGTTGTGTCCTCTCTCTCTCTCTTTGTCCTTGATCACCTTTTCAATGCCTTATGCATCTATTGGACGTGGGACCCAAGTGTTAATTGCCGTGTTTTTCGGTGATAGTCTATGGACGGTTGGGTTGTTGGAGAAAATGTTTGTTAGCAACAGCCAAAGCTCTTTTCAAACATTAGATATTGGTCTAACCTAGATTGACTAATACCACTGAAGTTTTCAAAATCGTGTGTCGGGTCTCCTTCCTTATTTGGTTGAGATATTAGTTCAACTGCGGCTTGCACTTGGACAGGGGTTTTCATATTTTTGTTGAAAATCTCTATACTATTATTATTCTTCTTCTTAATTAGCGTAGATATCGCTTACTCGATCATAGTCGAGTCGACAATAGCGCGTCAGTAGTTTCTTCTTTATAGCCGTTTGACGTCAATTGGAGATATTTTCACACAGCAAGAACCTTCCTCTTCAGGGATTACCGCCCCTCATAGAGCACATGATTTCTTCGTCTATGCGATTCGCTGTAGCTCCTACACAAAGTTCCAAAAGACTTTGCCTTCTCACAAAATATTCTAGTGCCGACTCATCGGATGTCGTCATCGTTAACGCTTCCCCACCTTATAGCAGATCGGGAAGAATAAGCGCCTTGTTGAGCTTAACATTTTCTCATCGATGGAGTACTTTAGTTTTTTAATTATCTTCTTAGCCCTATTTAGAAAACTGATTCTGCGAGTGATGGGTTTTGCTGGATACCAAATACAGACATTGCGGCATAGAGGCAGCTCATTTTCGTGTTATCGAAGACTGCTCCAAACTCAGCTTTATTCATTGTTTGCGTTGTGTTTGTAGTCTAAGTCGTCAGGGTCTTCTGGCGGAAGGTTCAAGAAACGAAATATTTCCATGGGTTAGAACCAGAGAGAAAGGGAGATAAGATGGGTAAATTTCGGTAAAGCAATGGTTAGTGTCGTGGTGCTCCCCGACTGCAGATGGTGCTTGGATTCCAAGAACGCCGTTCACTGAAAGAGAGTTCAAGAAGGTGTTCACCGAATCTCAGTGAATGGCGCTTAAACCCCCTCGGCACTGACCAGCGGTTCCTGAGTATGGTAATGAATGGAGTCAGTATACTCTATTACTCTGTTCCTGATGTATCTAGGTGGACTAGGTGGGCTTACGACGGTAGCATATTGCTTATACAGAATGCCACTTAACTCGTAACATAGGTGTTTCACTGGGCAAGTGATGCTCTGGTGGCTCCAAGAGGTTTTTTTGTCACGGTTCTGTGTCTTGCTGGTTCCCAGCGTCCAAATCGAAGCAGCCCAATTTACTACCAGCCGTCCATGAGCATTGATTGTTGCGAGCAACGTTACTTAGTCTTTAACCAAGATGCTGCTGGCTACCGATTTGAGAATTTTATTGCGGCTCAGTACTTTTGTGGCAATCACAGACGTATGCGGTCTGAAGGACGGTGGTCTTTAATCTTTCTCATAACACGCTCATCAGCCCCTATTGATATAGGCGGTTTTGAGTAGGCTTATTTCACGATATTTGGGGCTGATTTTGGGGTCCTCCTTTTAGTGATTTGGACAGAGCACACTTAGGTTTCAGGACCTGTTAACTTATAAACTCGGAAAGTTAAAAACAAATTTATTTATTTTTGCTTGATCATTGAAATTCATATCATTTAACTCGTATGCTCTTCTCATAAAATTATCTATAGTTTTTTTTAAATCTATTAATCTTCATATTTCATCTACACACCACAGAACATCCGATGTACGTGGACACATAAAAATTGAACGCAAAGGCTCCTGCTACATCACACAAGAGGACAATCATCAGACACTGCTCAGCGTTGAGGAGTTAATGGCGCTTAGTTGCAATCTAAAAATACCCTACTCGAAACGTAAAGACGAGCTAATCACAGAGATACTCGAAAACCTTCACCTAAATCATCGACGTGACATTTACGCTGAGAAACTAAGTGGCGGTGAACGTAAGAGGCTCTCAATCGCCTTAGAGCTCGTGGCAAATCCAAAAATATTCTTTCTGGACGAGCCCACCAGCGGCTTGGACGAAGTCACCGCCGCACAATGTATACGTTTACTCAGCAAATTGGCCAAGGAGGGACGCACTATCGTCTGCACCATACATCAGCCGTCGGCGACGATTTTCAATTATTTCGATAATATCTTCGTGCTGGCCAGTGGCCAATGCGTCTATCAGGGTCAACCGAGTGCGGTAATACCATTTTTACGACATGTGCATATTGAGTGTCCCAAATATTATAGTCCATCGGATTACAGTGAGTTTGCAATTGAAAAAAGGATTGTTGCAATATAAAATTTAACTTGAAATTTCTTTCGTTTTTTTCCGCAGTCATTGAGCTCTGCGACGCCGATGAGGGCAAGCTTATACCAGTGCTGAGTGAATTAACCGATAATGGCAAGTACATTTACGCGCCGCAACAGCAACTGCAGCAACAACAACAACTCACTCAGCAAATACAACTCAACGGTTTGGGCAACAACACAGCCAAGCAACGTTCTAGGGATTTCCAACATTCGGTGCGTACTTTCTTTGTGGAGGAGCCCAAACGTAGCCGTTTGCAACACCTGCTATCGGCTGGCGGAAATTTCTCTTCAGATGGCTCGCTTATCGGCGGTGTCACGGCATTTTATGAACATTTGAAGACTTTCACGAAACTGCTGGACACCGAGCAGGAGGACACCTCGAGCTTACATCAGTTTTGTGTACTCATCAGAATGATGTCGGTGCGCATAGTACGTGCACGCATTGCGCTGCTCATACAATTCCTGCATCATGTGCTGACGGGCCTCTGTTTCGGTAGGTGGAGCGTTGATATGGAGCTGAGAAGTTTGAACTAATTTTTTTCTTTTTTAAATTTATTTGTAGGCTTAATTTTTCTGAATCTCGGCAATCAGGGCTCGCGTATGTTTGATCATTTGAAATTCTGCATTGGCGTGATTGTAATTATCTCATACACACAAGTTATGCTGCCGATATTGAGCTGTAAGTATGAGCACCGCTTCTTCTTTTTTTATGCCACTAAAAATCAAGCTACAATACAATCAACTAAATTTATTTTTTTTTTCACAAATTTTCCCGCCCTTAGACCCCATGGAAATCAAGATCGTTCGTAAGGAGACCTTTAATCGCTGGTACAAATTAACCCCCTACTACATGGCCTTGAGCTTTTCACGCTTGCCTTTGCAGGTAATTTATCGCTTGAAATATTTTATTTTTTTCATTTGAATTTAAATAATTTTGATTCAATTTCACTCGTAGATTATTCTGAATATGATAATGCTGACGATCATTTATTGGATGAGTGGCTTGCCACCGCAATTGTGGCGTTTTGGCTTATTTGCCGGTATTGGTTTAATGACATCGTTGATAGCAGAGGGCATGGGCTTGGCGATAGGAATGACTTTCAGTATAACGGTAAGTTCATTTTTTGAATTGTCATTATTTTTGCACGCGGGTGTACAGTTATGTACGCAGACGCAGACTGATTTCACGGAGACTCTACGCTTTGCGCCGAATTTAGCATAACCTCAATTAATGAGCAATTTCTTCTTCTTATTTTTGTGGAGCGTAGACTTCACTTAGCTGATTATAGCTGAACTGATAATAGTTGAAAGTGGGGGCACCAATTGCTTAACGGAGTTAAGCCTTCTTTTTCCTGCTTCCCGAGAGAGGTCGTACAATGAAAATTCCAGTTTTTTTTTAACTTTTGTCTCTTCGGCTAAAGCGATGCCGCTACCGCAACCGCTTCTTCGGTGTTGGTAAGAGTTTTTATCGGCTGACATTGTTTTTGGTGTTCTTGCTGGTTTGACTATGACTCTCACCTGGAAGCTCTGCAGCTTCTATTATTTTCACCAACTTTACATTGAAAAAGTCAAACTTAACTCTTACATGTTCTCCGTTTGAAGCCTCGTATGGCACAGAGCGGCTCGTAGAGTACTAGTCTAACAACACTTTCGGTACTGACCAGCGTCGGTTAATATTTTTTGTGAAAATACCGAATTTAGATATGGTGGCAAGGAGAACTTCATTCCGTTCTGCGGTCAAATCGACGAAGAGATGCTGTGTGGAGATCTTTTCTCACGGTGTCTTAACTATTATTGCCGACACACATTTCGAATGTCTGGGCAATAATGGACTTGGTAGATCTGGTCTAAAGCTAATTAGATGGAGCACTCTTCTCAAGTAACTTTGCGAAGTATACAGTCTTTTTTGCGTACGACAATCCTCATTGTATCACCAGTAGCTTCATTTGGAGCCGTACGTGGTGAGTTTGGAAGGTCGTGCCATTTCCGCTATATCAAGCTGCTCATATATTAGTAGTGCAAGTCGAGTAGAAAACTGCTGGTCGGTTGGTTGTGATTGTTGCTTTCTGATGCCGAACATTGCCTGAGGAGTTGTTTGGCTGCAACAAAATAGTAGTCCGCGTAGATGTTAGGATACCTGACAGCGCACACATCCAAGACACGGTGACAGCCAAGTAGCTTCATGGACCTTCCTCGCTGCAAGATACGGATTCATGATATTCCCAGTAAGGCAACAGGCAACTAAAATTATATAGTTCCCACGACAGTCAGGTTTTTATAACGGAATGACCTAGATTTTTTTACAGCCAAGGACTGTTACTACCACAAATTTCCACAACAACCCTCTTGAGACATACTTTTGCGGCTACCACAACTACATGGATTTTTGGTGTCGTAATCCATTAAGAAATGCTTCGTCATGGATGCTGAATTTTCTGACCATTGTACCAAGGATGACTTCTGAATTAAGCGACCGGACATTGCGGGTGTATGCCCTCAAATCACGAGTTCTTTCTCAATACGCTCTCATTGAAATTGAAAGTTCTCATCCTAGGCTACAATGGGGAGTATAAATAGAAAAAACATTTATAAAGCGAGTTGCTTGCTTAAAGGCTGACGCCTGCTCGCAGCCATGCAACAGACGCTGAAATAAAACTGTAGTGAAGCTTTATACGATATATGCAGTAGTAACTCCGCTAAAGCTCCCTCCCTTTGAGCTGTTCTCCAGGGGCACAAACAGGTTGGTTATCTCATTTCAAACAAGTTTTCCGTTTGTGTAGAGAGAAGTTTCACTCTATTCAGGCTTACGCCAATTCCACATCGATTAGACCAGTTGATATTCTGCGCAGAGGTTTTCTGGGTCATAGTTTTACTAACCCCTAGAGACTTGGTTTCTCCTTTTTTTCTCTACAAATCTTTCTTATTCGCTTTTAACCATTTTTCAATTTTCTCTTTCCAGAACGGCAGCGCAGTTGGACCTTTAACGATTGCTCCCCTCATGGGTTTGGCGATTTATGGTTTCGATTTTGCTGCACAAATTCCATACGCTATGAATCTGCTAATGAAATTCAGCTACATACGTGTCGGTGTTGTGGCGTTAATACTTTCCGTTTTCGGTTTTGATCGACCAGAATTGGAGTGCACGGATATGTATTGCCATTTTGGTGATCCGAGAGTTTTACTCAAATTTCTTGATATTGAACACATGTCGATGTGGTATCTCTTCTCCTTACTCACGGTACTTATGCTCTTCTACAGAGTTTTAATGTATTTGAGTTTGCGCAGACGTTGTGGCACATAAACGATTTGTAATGAAGTGTTAATTGTTGAATGTATACATGTATGTGATTAATAGTGTTAAGTGGTAAAGTTAGGATTAAGTATACAATGTACATACATAAATGGGCTGGTGAATGGCGTAAAAACAAAAATAATAATAATTTATGCACATTTTTATGTAAATATGTATAGTATGTAAGTGCATACAAAGCAATTAGTAAGCAACTTTATGCTGTGATAAATGATATTGTGTAATTATAATATATTTTTTTATAGGTTTATAAAGGAGTTTAGCATTTGTTTTTTTAAAATACATAGACAGCCATGTAGTTTTGATAGGTGACACTTTAAATAAAGTGGTTTATATGATCGAAATATATTTTAAAGATACTTAAAGATATTCCATTTGTATATATGAAAACGAAAATAAATGCATATTTTATATTAAAATAAACTTTCCAATTTATTTTGCTTTTTAGCTGGTTTTTACACAATGATCCGCATAAAACAGCGTGTATTACATACAAAAAAGCTATATGTACGTCATACATTTTGTGTTAATTACATGCGATAAATTTGTTTATATTTAATATTAACATACAATTAAAGTTTAAAAGAAACAAAAAAAAAATTATAAAGAGTATATGGTTGCTTATTCCTATTTGCGCGTGGTCGCCACTTTTTCTTTTCGTTTCTTCACATGCTTTTTCACTTTGACTTTGCGCTTTTCCGCTTTCGCCTCTTTAACAGCCTTCTTACGCGCTTTTTTACTATCAGGCGACTCATCGCGTGGACGTGCTGAATTCACAAAACCAGTACCACCTTCTTCCTCGGAATCTGCTTCTTCATCTTCATCATCATCTTCTTCACTGGAGCCGCTTGTTTTATCTGTGTTTCCTGTGGCATTTGAAATATTTTCTTTGTTCTCTTGTGAATTCTTCTTTTTAGCAGTTTCGTCAGTTTTACTAAGGATATCTGGTTTTTGTTGAACATTCAGTTCGCCATTCAAACCAGTAATTTTGCCATAAATGAGATTTTGCTTGACACCTTTCTTCGCTTTATCTACATCACGTTCAAAGTGGCGCACCTGTGTTAAATTGAAAAATATATTTATATATATTATATATATCGTATATATAACATAAAAAACTTTTAAGCTTACCTCATCCAATCTCTTTGGTATGTAAGTATTCTGCCATACTGCTTCATCGATTTTTTCTTGCGCCGTGATTGCCTCAAAATCACGATCTTTGATCTCTTCAGATATACGCTCTAAGCAAACTTCCATATTTTCTTCCGTAATTGACTGATCTGTTATAAAGTCAAATAACTCCTTTACCGTCATTGTGGCTACAGAGCGCTTACGGAAGAAGTCCGATATATTTGCACAATCCTTACGCAAGAAATCAAATGCATGTGGATGATCATGTTCAACCGATTGACTCACATCGATTATAATCAGCTGGTCATCTTGTAATAGAATATTAAATTCGGATAAATCTGCATGCACTAATTTACATTTGTTATAAATGCGCCACATAAGCACAACACATTCTCGATACAGTTCACGCGCTTTAGATGCAGACAACTCCACATCTTTCAATTTAGGTGATGGCCAACCATCTTTACCGCAAAATCTCATTACCAGTACGTGTGAACGCAGAACTATAGGTTCGGGCACAGGCACACCGAAATTATGCATGCGTACATAGTTGCGCATCTCCTTCTCTGCCCAAGTGCGTACCATTTTACGTGGATTATGACGACAATAGCCATGACGGAAACGAAATTCTCCAGATACATACTTATCACGATCTTTAAATACCAATATGGAAGTTTTGTAGATTTTTATAGCGTATTCATTATTGTCTTTTGAGACAGCATGATAGACATTCGCTTCTTTGCCAGTAGAAATACAACCGTTTATCTCTTGTATGAAACCACGATTTAACAATTTGAAAAGTATCATGCGTGTACGTGGATCCATCACTTGTTCGGCAGTAGCACGATCATGTTTATCACGTGCGCGTACACGTTCAGCTTCTTGCCGACGATCGAATGTCACCAAACGATTGGCAGCTTGTGCACTCATAATAGCATTGGGATCATATTTTTCCACATTAATTCGTGCAGAATAACGGCGTAATATTTTTTCGTTAGGTTGATAACTGTTCAAACGATTCGACTGCGTTCCACTAGTAGTACTAGTGTGTCCAGAGTGATTGAGTGAAATTTGTGCAGTTTGTCCATTGTGTTTTTGATAACCCGTATATGATTCCTCGTAATCATAAGCGTCATCACTGCCTTCACTGTACTCATAATCTTCTTCGTCGTCTTGATCTTCCGTATTTTCATTGTCTATTATTTCCGTGAAATCGTCCTTTTCGCTGTTGTCATCCTTTATGTCCTTAAACATAACATGCTTCACTGTTAGCTTGTTGAAGTTATTAACTAAGTTATTCTATAGAAAAAGATAAAATATAAAACGGTAGTTTATTTAAACAGTACAATTAAATCGAAGACGTTTATAGACAAAATTCTAATTAGCTACAATTCACTTGTAAAAAACACTTTTCCTATGGTGTATACCTTATATGGAATTTCCTCGTCCTCTTCAGCATCACTGAATTGATGCGCATTTAACTCCGACATTGCGATATTTTCTTATTCGCAGTGTATTAATTTTTTACTGAATAAAACTAAATTAAATAATATTTTCACACGTGCTACTGGTTGAATGTTATAAATATTTTATTTATAACAACTTCTTCTTAAATACCGCACATCGCAACCATTCACAATAGTAAAATGGTGAAATATTGACAAAGAACGTATATTAATAACAAAGAACGTATATTAATAAGAAGGGAAAAGAACTGTGAACCAATTTGAAAAATTTTGCTGAGGTGAATAGTGAGGTGCCACAGCGAGATTACACCTTCCTTCAAATTTCTCGCGATTTTCGTGGCACAGCGGGGCAATTATGACGGCGAAACGAAATTTCGTACCAAAACAAAAATGAGCCGATTGAGTTGGCAAAAATCGTTTGAATATGCGCGCGAAACGATAGACACGCATAAAAATATGAAAGCAAGCATACATATATACACTAGACAGAATGGAAATCCTGAAGGGATCCGTCTTTTTTTCTTTGTGTACCCGAGCACGCCTCTACTTCCCTCTTTGGCCATAGCTTGGGATTCGCACTTCATCCCTAAAATCTAGATTTTTTGCACTTTGCCCAGCTGACTGCTTAAATTTACTTGCTTCCCAATATGAGCTAATAGGCAAACAGCAAATTTAACAGCACGATGCCGACTTGCTACAATTCGGTGGACAAAGTCTGAATTTTTGTCAAAGTCGGAAGAATTTGAAGCAATGTAGTGTATGCCACATACCAATGTGTATTGTTGTTGTATTAATATACGTTCTTTGATATTGATTCCAATTTGAATTTACATCATCGCATATATTGCATGGATTGTGAAATTATATTTATATATTGTTTCAATATACATACATCTATAAAAGTTCATGATTAATAAATACTTTCATTTTTTCGTTTAATCATTAGAACAAGACTTAAATATATAAGAGATAAAAATAACATTCAACGCGCATGGGGCGAATGATCTGCCCAACCAAAGAACGTATATTTAAAGAACTAATATTAATGAGAAGGGAAAAGAACTGTGAGTTGTTCACAGACAGAGTGAGTGTCTGCTTTGGTCCTATTTCCACAAATTTAATTATATACGTTCTTTGACTTGATTTAGACAGTTTTGAAATAGTTCTTAAAAAATATTTTAGAAAAGAGCTGGCAGCTCTTGGATTTTTTTGCTTTTCATTTTCCTCTATGACTGCAAATTCGCATTTATTTACGTACGTTAATCAAAACAAATTTTTACTGACAGTTGAACAGCTGATATTAGCACGCCGTCCGCAAAGAAATCACAATAGATCTTTAGCTTGAGTTTTGTTTATATATAAATAATTTTAATTATAACTTAGTTATTAAACTTTAAGGTACATATATATATAAAAAGTGTGATACAAATGTTTGTGCTCGCCGAATTGAAAGATACCATACGAATAGCACCTGATCAATTTCATTTGAAATTGGTGGAAGCAATACGAGACGAAATCAATCGAAAATTAGCAAATAAAGTAAGACATATTGAATATTCCAATATATAATACATTAAAGTGAATCCTATTTTGCTTTGCAGGTGCTATTAAATCTTGGTCTCTGTATTGCTCTCAAAGACATCGTATCGCTGAAAGACTCCATTATTCTACCTGGTGATGGAGCATCACACACCGAAGTGCTTTTTCGCTATATCGTTTTTCGTCCTACTATCGGTAGCATACTCACAGGTAAAATACGCAGCTGTAGCCGTGAAGGTGTACACGTGACATTGGGCTTCTTCGATGATATACTCATACCACCGTCCGCTTTGCAACATCCCTCACGTTTTGAGGAAGCCGAACAGGCTTGGGTATGGGAATACCCACTTGAAGATGGTGCCAAGCATGATTTATTCATGGATATAGGAGAACCTATTAAATTTCGGGTATCACGTGAAATTTTCGAAGAAAGTTCACCAATAGGACCACCCAAGGCAGATACACAGCAAGCCAGTAGCTCAGCAGCGGCGACGGCGGCAGTAGCCGCTTCCACACAGCAAACTGAAGTAAAGACACCCTATAGAATAGTGGTGAGTGGGATAAAAGTACCTACATACATATGTACAATATGTAAATAATTATGTTGTGTTGTTAATTTATAATTTTCTAGGCGGCAATTAATGAATCTGGTCTAGGCGTGTTGTCTTGGTGGGATCAACAAAATCAGGTTGGAGAAGAAGGTGACGAAAATGAAGATGAAGACAATGCGGAATATGAAAATGACGAAGATGGCGAAGGCGCATATGAAGAATGAAATAAATATTTTTACATAAAAGATCAAAAAATGTGTTTTAATTTTAATTTATTTTTTAAGAAAAGGCGAAGCTTTCATACGGAAATTCTAAAGGGAAATTGGCAATATTTTTTTTCTGAGATCATTCAAAGCAGCACTGAAATAAAACAAGTTTACATTACAGTTATTTTCCATATTTGAAATATTTTTTATTTTCAAATTTTTCATATAATTTGTGTTCATTGCAATTTCTTTTTGTTTTTTTTTTTTACTTACTTTGAGACAATATTTATCGTAGCTGTTTAAGTTTATTTGTTTCTTAAATTTTGTTTATCACTTAAGTCAAAAACAAAAATTTTCTTTTCATTATTTGTATACGTACGCACATAAATTTAATTAAATATGTTTTTTTTCTTAACCATGAATATCGAATATCTTATAAAAGAAAAGAATTTGTCTTTTTTTTTTTGGTCAGATTGCATATACAAAGAGCGCCTTTCTTGCCTATTTTTCGTTTTCATGAACTTGTACACTTGTATTTGAAATCTTCTAGTTTTGTAATAATAATTTAAAACATGTTGAGATTTTTGTTTTTGTATTTTCCTTTTTAACAAATTTACATACATACATCAAACTATTGTATTTTAAAATTACTCTTTTTTATACGCTACTTTCACATCTACCGGTGCCTACACACCCTAAAATAAATATTTAACATATAAATGTTTTGTATAGAAAAATTAATTAAAAAATATTTAGAAGTATTTAAATTATATACTACTTAAAAGAGTTTGCACTTTAGGGGGTATTGCACAGTTTTATTTTTGTTTTTTTTTTTCAAGAAAACATTTTTAATTAAATATAATTTTTAATTTTTAGCTATTTTTAATATTTTTTTTTTTGTATTTTTCGAAAATATTTTTTTTTATATTTCTTTTTGTAAGATTTATGTAAAGTGTGCCCGTTCTAGTCTTGTTAGATTTAATTTATTTTACAATAATTTTTTTTTTTTGCCTTAATTATCATTTGTCAATTAGTCTGCGCTATTAAAAAGAATTTCCTTCTGCTTTGTTTTGAATTTAATGTAGGTGTTAGTTGTTGTACGTACGAGTATTTGTGTAGGTGTGTGTATGTACGGGTATATTTTTTTGTTTTAATTTATTTGTTCGCTTATTTCGGCTTCTTCTGCTCTTTTGCGTTTTATTGTTGGTAGGAATAACTTTTATTTAAATATGTATGGATGTATGTATGTATGTATGATAGACCTTCAAAATGTTTTCTTCTGCTTTTTTTCAATATCCTTTTCATAACTTTTCCATTTCTTTTTGCTTCCTATTTAAGCCATCTTATGTTAGTATAATAATTCTCAAACGTATTTTTGTTGTAATTGCACAAATCATTTTATCATTGTTGTACTGTTGTGAGCAGAGCTAATTGCTGAAAATGTCGGTCGTCCTTGGCCGGATATTTGTAAATATGTATACATTGTATGTATGCTATTTGTAAATCTAAGCCGTTTTGTTAATGTCCTTATTTGGGAATTATACTCAATTTCATTTGTCATTTCTCATTATTTATTATAAATATTATTTTTTATTTTAATAATTTATTTTTATTTCAAACTTTCATTGTTATAAAATATTATGCTTCCTTCTTGCATATTTTCAAAATTGTTACTACAATTTGTGTAGGTTAAACGGCTTCTATCCTCTTTGTTTAGTCATTTTTATTACTTTTTTTGATCATACAATATTATAAATATTCTTTTTTCCTTACTTTTTCCATATTTTCTTATTTCCTCTTTTTTATGTTCTTACTAACTTAATTTAAATTTTTTTCTCTTTGGTATACTCTCTTTGATTGCTGTCATTTTCTACTATTTGTATGTATATTTATCATTTTCTTCGTTATTTTTTTTAAGTTATTCTTCATTTACTGTCTTATCGGCGGCTTACTGTTCCTTTACTGTAATTGTTTTTCTCTCATTTTTCTATCTAATTGTTTGTTGTTGCTTTTTGGTTTGTTCATTTATCATATTGTTCTTTGCTTCTCTACATCTACTTTACTACTTTTTGTTGAAATTTTATTTTCGGTTTTCTATGGCAAAGTTTTAAAGCTTTCACATGCATACGAAAAGTTGGGAGGATTTTATTTAATTTTTTCCTTTAGACTTTTGGGATGTTTTATTTTTTAATTTTGGTGTCAATTTACACACTTTTTTATTTTACTTTAATGTTTTTAGTTCTCAATCTAAGCTACGCACTTTTTTCTTACTACAAACAATGGCATATTTAAGAGCTTTTACCTGCAAGCTTTCATTATTCAATCGTTTTTATGCGCTTTTGCCTTTTTTATCTTCAAGCTTGCATCACTTCATCCCCTTTGAGACCTTTGAGATTTTTACCTACAAGCTTTCATATGTTCTTTCAGAGCTTTTGCAGTTGTTCACCTTCTAGCTATCATTATTATATCATCTTTCGAAGCTTTTGCTGCTTTCCACCTTCAAGCTTCTATTTCTATATGTCGTTTAAGAATTTTTGCTGTTTGCCGCTTTCTAGCCTTCTGTATTATATCATCTCTAAGCGCCTTTACTGTTTTTTACCTGCAAACTCTTATTTTTATATCTTCTTTTAGAGCTTCTGCTGTTTTCATTCTGAAGCTTTCATTATTATACTTTCTTTGAGAGCGCTTATTATTTTTAAAAAGCTTTCTCTACTTTACTCTGTTTGCTTGCTTAATTTTTTTCTGAAATTTTTTACAAAAAAATTTGTATTTTCTCTACAATGAATTTTTGGATTTGTTTGAAATGAAGTAATTTTTTTGCACAATTTACGTTTTAAAGGTCTTTATAAAAAAAGTTTAGTTCACACTTTCATATATATAATTTTTTTTTGAGAATTTCTAGCGTTTTTTTATTATTTAGAAAATATTTTTTTTTTCGACTCTTGCATAGCTTATGAATCTATTCATAAATTATTTTATTATTTTTTCTGCTTTAAATCTTAATTCGTCTGTAGTTGATTATTGTACAAGAGATTTTGAAAGTATTTATTTTATCGTTAAAGTTTAGCAAGAACAGCGTTAAATGATTAAAGCTAATATGCAAGCTTTTGTTGTAGCTTTCTGTAATCCGAATGCTTTTTATTTCCAACTCGTTCCTCGGCAAGAAATTATTGTATGATTTTTAAAGAAGAATTGAAGTTCTCATCAAAAAGAAACTCTAATAAAAACCAATTAAAAAATTTATCAAAAAATTTAACTACAGATTTGAGTGTTGTCAGAGAAAAGGTAATGAGTTTCCATTTGCAGTTCACTACCAAGTATAGTCATGCTCTTCTCCTCCTGGCCTTTCCAACGGAGTGGTGGAGGTCTTCCCCTCAGTCTGCTTCCAATGGTTTGTACTGCATCGAAAACTTTCAACGCTGGGGTATTCTGATCCATGCGGAGAGCCATGATTAGTGACCTTTTCGTGCCTGAATTAGTTGATATTGGTGTGGGCGATCTTTGATTCCAACAAAACGGCGCTAAGCGCAATACAACCAACGAAACAAAAACATTTTTTGAAGAAAACTATTGATGAGAACATTACATCACGTCGTGGGGTTGTGGTGTGGCCTTCAAGATAATGGGATTTAACACCGGTGGACTGTTTTTGGTGGATTTATGGGAAGTTGCTTGTGTAAGAAGATGAGCACGCGATGCTAGACGCCTTGGAGGAGAATATTCGGAGAGTTATTTCCGACATACGGTTCCAATTGCTAAGTAAGGTGGACCTCTTGACTGGAATTTATTTGTGCCAGCCACTGCAGTCACTTGCCCGAAATCACTTTCAGAACATAATGGCAAACAATAATCTTTATAATAAAAAAAAAAATTTTAGATAAGGCTGCGAGCATCGAGGTGGACAAGCCAGAACTTATCTACGAAGTTGAAAAAATTGTTCACGACGAAGCTCGCCTCAAGAAGAGGCAACTAGCAGAAATGTTGGAAGTAACCGATACAAATATTTTTAAAATCTTCCACGATCGTCTGGGCTTGACTAAGATTAGTGCAAGACGGGTGTCGAGAATGCTCACTTCAACGCAAAAACAATAGCGCATAGAATGTTCACGTGCATATTTAGACCTTCGTAATGATGAGAGGGATGATGTATTTAGTCGAATTTTTACCGGAAACGAAAGTTGGCTGCATCAGTATGAACCTGAGTCTAACCAAAAGTCCATAAAAACAGTACAGCGCCACCGAAGAAGCTTAAGTTGTCACAGTCTGCTGGGAAACTTATGGCAACTATCTTTAGCACGCAGAAGGAATATTATTGATCGATTATAATGATAAAGGTGTTTCCAGAACTGAAGAATAATACTACACTACAATATAAGAACTATCAAATGAAGGCATTAAAGAGAAAAGATGACGAAAAATGACGAAAAATTACGAAAGTTTCGCAGCATTTGCATAGAAAAAAAATAAGGTGGGCTTTGATGCTTTGAATCACTCCCCCTTTAGCTCAGACTTGACCCCGTTTGATTACTACAGCTTTCCAGAAATTAAAGAGGAAGTTTGAGGGGTAAAAAATCAAGCAACGATGATCAAGTCAAGGAGGAAGTTTTGGCTTATTTCGAAGAAAAAAAAAATACTTTTTATGAATGTATAAATAAATGAATTAGGAGAGGTGAAAAATAATTTGGTTTTTTTATTTCCACCACTTATCATCCATTTCGTGAACATAGAAACGATTATACGATTATATAAATATGCGACCTCAGCCGTAGTTGACTTTTCTAAAAGATAATTCCTGCAATCACAATTCACATTCACTTGTAAATATGCACTGACTTCAACACCCAGTCTGCCTATTTCCTTCATGCTGAATTTATGTATAGCATACTTTTAGGGTTATATAAGTTTGTTTTGCAGAAATCTTGTTGCTGGTTATTTAAAAATCATACTTAAAATTAAAGTATTTGGAATTCAAACGTTCTAAGTCAGTGTTGAGTGTTTCTTCTTCTTCTTTTTTAACAGCTATCTAACACTAATTAAATAATTATTAAATAAATTACATTATGAGAACTAGAAATTATTTAAAATTAATTATTTTGTAATATGTTTGACGTTGTTCATAATAAGATTTTAGAAATATTTCTTATAAACGAGTGTTTGAGTGTTTTTCTTTAACTTGAGGAACATTATCGGCATTGATTAGCAGTAATATAAATATGTATGTATTTATGTATGTAATTAGTTTATATTAAATTACTCAGTTTACTACAAAGTTTATTTTAATTTTTTCTTTGCCTGTCATTTGTTAAAAGTGTGTAGTAAACTAAGTTATAGGAAAATTATTAAAGACCGTTTTTATCTACACTTGAGAAGCTTTTAACTAATGAAAAACACTTCATTTTTGAGTAGCTTTAATAAACTTTTTTTGGCTTTAAGCCCAAAGCTTAAATTTTTCCAAATTATTTGTTTTCCATTTAAAGCTGCAAACGCCTTTTTTTCATTAGTATAAGCTATTTTCAGTGCAGCCTTTTGGCTATTTTTTTTAGTATATTTTACACTTAACAGCTTTTTAAAGTTCCAGTGCAGTTTTAAACTTTCTTAAAAAAGCTTAACTGTAAAGTTTTGCACGCCATAAAGAGCTTTCATTTGCTGGTTTTCAAAAGCCAACAGCATCGCAGGCAACAAAACGAAATTGTTTATTTCCTGCCTAAACTCAAGGTGTGTCTGAGCCGCTTCCCTACACTTTGTTTTCTCCACCAAACTCTTCTTGGCTGTCGGCGACAACACCTTCTGCACACATTCCATCAACACTGCAGTTTTGTAGCAAACGTATTATTCAATGATTAAGCAGCGTGGCAAATGCTCTTTCAAATATTCGAACAGCTCATGTGATGCACCTGGACAATTGGTCAGTTCGAGTTCCTGCAAGTGACGCAACTGTATTAGACTGGACAGGCCTGAAGAGGTAAGTAGTGGACAGCCGGCTAGTGAGAGTACTTGTAGATTACGCATGGAGCATAAATGTTGCAGACCAAAATCACGTACTTGTGAACACCAACGTAGGAAGAGTGCGGTTAGTGAGAGCATTGTTGAGATGTAGCCGACACCGATGTCCGTGATGTGTACGCATCTGGAAAGAGGAAATAAAATTGAAATTTTGTGTTTAGTACAGAGTTTGAGTAAGGAGGACATTTCCATGAATAATTAAAAATATTTATGAGTATAAGGTTTTTTAATACACAAAAATTTACGTTCACGACAACGAAGTTCTAAAGAAGAAGGCGGATTAAGATGATACGGACCAGTAAAACACCGTCCTGAGGATCGAGTCGGGTAATTTTCCGATGTCGCCAGAACAACGAGCAGAAACTAGCGTGAAACAGCTCAGACCACAGACATGTCAGTGGAGACGTAAATGCTAAAGGCGAAGAGTTAAAAGTAGGTCTTAAAACCCTTCATCCTTCCTTACTTCTCTCCCAGGCGTTAACAGAAGCCATTTGAAAGCGAAGAATTCGAGCTGCCACGGAAGAGCTTTTTAATACTGATCAAATTAAGTTATTGATATTGTAGCAGACTAATCCCGAGTCCATACTAACTCGAGCCATCATGGCTGTTGCATGCAATAAGTTTACTTACGAAGCATCCACCCCTTTGAAGGCCCTCATGAATTTCTAATTCCCTCTCAATTTGGATCGTAGCTTTCATAACAGCTCGTTTCAAAAGCCTTCCGTAAGATGAGACGGCTAACACGGCCGCCTCCAAACTGCTGATGGTACTTCTATGAGGAGCTTTTGATTTTCATATCAGAAATATACTCGGAGGGAGTTGACATTCCCTGCCGAGGAACGACCGTAATTAGAAAATTTAACTTAATTTTTTATTTAAATTCATTTTCTATAACTTTTGAATTTGAATCCGAGTCTTCCGAATGGCAGTACGCAATGCTAACCACGATCAGTTTACAATATATTATAACCGCTGAAGCGATCTTTGCCAGAGAACTTCCTGCAATTTGTAAAGTTTTTCCAACAAATGGAGGACCTCGAGTTTATTTTAAGCTTCCTCTGAATGTCTGATGGACTTTTTATTTCATGACCCAAATAAACTCGGACGAATTGATTTTCCCTGACGTAGGGCGACTGCATTTAAAAAAAACTTTCTATAATTTTGAAGTGGTTCTGGATATTAACCACCTCTTTGCATACCCTCTTAAATTGCTTCCTTTTTCTTACACCTCGGATTCGAGCTCGTCGAAATTGTCCATTTTTCGAGATTTACGTTCGATGGCTTCAAGAGCATAGAATTCGCGAGTCAATACAGCAACAAGAGCAACGAATGTGTCTCATCTGCAGAGCTAAACTTGCTATATGTAGATGATCAACATGCTGGGGTGAAACCACAAACAAAGCTCGTAAGTTATAATGATATCAGGATATGCTGTTACGAGGACTCAGCTCGATCACTAGCTTCGTGGTTGGAAACCAATTTCAGCACGTTTCGACTCAGTAATAACTTAAAAAAAAACTTTACCTGTTACGAGAACGTTTCTGATTTCTAGATGAAGCCCATCAATCTCACTCATTAAGGAAGATAATACACACTTATGGGGACAGCCTAGTCGTCATAAAGGTCTCAACTTCTAATAGCAAGAAGTCCGCTGTGGTCGCATTAGAGGCGATAAAAACACTGTCTACAAAAAGAAGTGTTCACAGCTACTGGGTGCCAGGCCACAGTGGCATTGAATGCAATGAGACAGCTAACGAGCTGGCCAATGGGGGTGTCCTTTTAGAACAAAACATACCGGTTCCATTCAAAGAAGTAAAGTGAATGCAAGGAGTAATCTTAGATTAATAGACTCTGCAGCCAAAGTCTGCAGACCCACGAAAACTATGTACAAAACTAATTACGCTAAACTTACCAAGTTTCTACCATTGGTGAGGGGACCGAATTCTACGCTGCTGGAAGGTCTCTTAATAGGTCATTGAGTGCATGTCATAATGGTCTGATTGGGGAGAAGAAGTATGGGAAATGTAAGCAATGCGTGGAAACAGTAAAGCACGTAAGCTGTGGAAGTTCAGTCTTCGGCAGTCAAAATTTATGCTTACTGTACGCCGAAAAGCTGCAGGACCTTTAATCGGCAATGCTCAAGGGGCTAAAACGACTACTTCAATTTGCAAAACAGACAGTAATGCTCTTCACACCAGAAATGCAATAAATAGTGTAGCAGTGCAGATAGGTAGAAGGTGTGTGTGGCAACCCTATGGACGTAATATCGTCTATGTGAGACACGAAAGGTCGACCAGTTCAACTTAACCTAAGCAGTCTATTAATGGAGCTTATCGTGAAAGCTCGAACCTTTTGAGTGTATTCCATATAGTTTAGGAGCGCATCCTTGGTCATAGCGTCTTACTCCTTTTTCTCTCAAGCGAACCTAATACAGCTATGGAAAGCAAATGAGCTCGTGAGCTATCATTCTTGTTAATGTTAAGCCTTTTCGAGAACAGTCTAGAAATATAAGAGCAGTATTTAAGACATTTCGTAACTAAGTTGACTTTTCACGGTTATCCAAGCTCGATGAATAAAGAGCAGGGAGCTCGCTGCTCAGTACACAAACCCGATTAGGAGATTCAGGAAAAGAATTCTCACATCCAATCCGTACACATATTTTGGAGACTTCTTGACAAACTGTTTAATAGACTTTTTTAATAGACTTTTGGGCGAATCACTTAACTATAATTTGCTGATCCCTTTCAAGGATTCTAAATGTCTTACATTACAGTACAAATTCTTTTACTTTTGGACACTCTACTACATCGTTTTCTAAATAACAAATCTCACCTGTCCAACGTCAACTCTTCCAGTTGATTTAGATCACAGGCAATATACTCCAACGATGCGTCTGTGATGCGCGGACACCATGACAAATCGAGGGCACGTAATTTTTGTAGATTCTCGGCAATCAATTCAACGCCATCATCGGTGAGTTTACTGCAACCGGATAGGCTAAGTACCGTTAAGTGGGGCAAAGAGTGTACTGCAATGATAAGAGAAAAGACAAAAGACCAAAATAATAAATACGAGTACGAGCTTTTTTTTTAAACTAGAAAAAAAATATTAAGAGAATATATTTACGAGTATGTGTATGTATGCAAAAAGAGAGAAAGAGCAAGAGAAAGGGGAGAGACGTATGCCATATGTACAATAATACACATGACCATCTCGTCTAAATGTATGCATGAGGATTCATAAAAAATGGTACTGAAACTCAATGCACGACTGATGGTGATGGTGATGGTGATGATGATGATGACTCATTGGCAGCATGAATGAATGAATGCATGAAATATTTGTTGCGCAACATAACACTGCATAAGGGCTAAGGACTAAGGACTATGGACGAACAGTGCGAGTAGCAGCTTGGTACTTAGCTCAATAGGGCACTGCCGTAGCTGAGTAGCTTTATTACGTGTATATATATTGGGTTGCCCAAAAAGTAATTGCGGATTTTTCATATAGTCGATTTTTTCAACGGCTTGTGACTCTGTAATTGCATTCTTTCTTCTGTCAGTTATCAGCTGTTACTTTTAGCTTGCTTTAGAAAAAAAGTGCGCGAAATTTTGTCTGCATTTGTTTGTTTGGCGTCAATTTTAATATGGAGCCCACAAAGGAGCATTTTCGTCATATTTTACTTTATTATTTCCGTAAAGGAAAAAACGCGGAGCAGGTTGCTAAAAAATTACGAAATGTGTATGGTGATGAAGCCTTAAAAGGAAGACAGTGTCAAAATTGGTTTCGCAATTTCCGTTCTGGAGATTTTTCACTTAAAGATGAGCCATGTTCAGGTCGGCCAAATGAAGTTGATGATGACCAAATCAAAGCATTAATCGAATTGGATCGTCATGTCACTGAGGGTGAGATAGGAGAGCAGTTAAACATACCAAAATCAACCGTTCATTATCACATAAAAAGTCTTGGACTGGTGAAAAAGCTTGATGTTTGGGTACCACATGTATTGAAAGAAATTCATTTAACACACCGAATCAATGCTTGTGATATCCACCTTAAACGCAATGAATTCGATCCGTTTTTAAAACGAATCATAACTGGAGATGAAAAATGGATTGTTTACAACAACGTTAGTCGAAAACGATCATGGTCCAAGCATGGTGAACCACCTCAAACCACTTCAAAGGCTGATATCCACCAAAAGAAGGTTATGCTGTCTGCTTGGTGGGATTGGAAGGGTGTCGTATATTTTGAGCTGCTTCCAAGAAACCAAACGACTAATTCGGATGTTTACTGTCAACAATTGGACAAATTGAATGCAGCCATCAAGGAGAAGCGACCAGAATTGGTCAATCGTAAAGGTGTCATATTCCACTAGGACAACGCTAGACCGCACACATTTTTGGTCACTCGCCAAAAACTGAGTGAGCTTGGCTGGGAACTTTTGTTGCATCCACCATATAGCCCTGACCTTGCACCATCAGACTACCATTTATTTCGATCTTTGCAGAACTCCTTAATTGGTAAAACTTTCGGCAATGATGAGGCTATAAAATCGCACTTGGTTCAGTTTTTTGCAGATAAAGGCCAGAAGTTCTATGAGCGTGAAATACTAAATTTGCCAAGAAGATGGCAAAAGGTTATGGAACAAAATGGCTATTATATATTTTATTCAAGTTCATTCTAAGTTTTTTGCATTTACTTTCTTTTAAAAAATCCGCAATTACTTTTTGGGCAACCCAATAGATGATTTGAAGGTATGTATGTATATACGTGTATGCTCGCATATGAAGGGCGAAAAGCATGAAAGTAACAAATGCATATGTACATACTTAACTTAGCATGTATGTGCGCTCATACATACACGTATATGCACATGTATGTGTGGAAGATTTTCATATTTTATTCCACACATACATATATTTATATGTATGTACATATGTACAACAGCAATTCACTTTACGACAGCTGAGCCACACCAAAGTAATGTTTGCAGCAGTCACGTCACTATACAGCAGCAGCAGCAACAACAACAACAACAATATAAAAACAATATTCATTGCAGTAATATTACTCGAATGCAAGTGTTGCGAAATGCTTGGAAAAAAATATGAATGAATAAATAAATGAATGATAAATAATGCAAAGCAAATGCAGATGACACACTTTGTTGTGGTCTCACTGACGAAACAACCAATGGGCGGAGACTAACAAGCGACTGCAGCCAGCAATTGTACTCTGCTACTCAGCGACGCGCTTGGAGTTGGTTAGACAAACTACAGTTGGCGTGGCAGGCAGACAGACAAGACAGTTGACCACTCGTCGAGACAGAGCTAAGCTCATTTGTCTAGTTATGTATATGAAACCGCAGAGAATATCATGTTGCTGGTACCCGAATAGTGATTGCACAAGGTATGCACAAGAAACGAAGAAGATTGATTTTTTTTATTAATTTCTGATAGGAATTTTTCGTTTAACCATCGAGCTCTTTCCTCAATCCTGTTCTTATATCCCTATTGATAGCCCTTTTATGGGTTTCCTCAATCTTGAGTAAATGAAAAAGTCGGAGGTGGCCATCTATGGTAAATACGATGGCCGAGGCACGATTGTAGGGTTTCTTTTGGGTTAAAAAATGATGTACATTCTCCAGTTATAAGAGTATCTACCTTTCGGCTTTCGTATTCATTGTCATATATTTTTAACGGCTGAAGCGGTATTCGACCAAGCTCCTCCTCCAATTTGTGGTTTTTGATGTTTTTCCAACAAATGGAGGGACCTATGTACAGTTTATACTAAGCCCCCTTCGAACGACTGATGGTTTTTATGAGCAGCTTTTATTTCATGTTAGAAATACACTCCGAGGGGTTGACATACCCTACCGAGCGGTGAGCGCAAGTAGAAAAATTAATTTTCTATTATTTGGATGTTGGTCCAACCAGAACTCACACGGCTATTGCGGTCGAATAATATCACAAAAATCAATTACCAAAATTTCATACCATAATCAATACACGGTGGGTCCCAAAAGTAAAAGAACTTTTTGGATACAAAATAAAATACACATTATATTATCTTTGAAAGTTATTATTTATTCAAAATATTTTTCATTTGACTCAACACAACGTTTGGAACGATCAACCAGCGCATGCATAGATTTTTTTATGTCTTTTATAGAAATGTTCTTCAGTACATCGGTTACGGCGGCTTGAGTGGCTGGGATATCAACATAAAATGCTCCCTTCATCTTGGTTTTCAGCTTTAAAAATAAAAAATGGTCACATGGTGATAGATCATTAAAAATTCGAGCGATTTTTTGGTCGTCATTTAATTCATGTGGAACAAATCGCGCACAGACCTTACTTTTTCCCAAATATTTAGTTAAAATTCTCCAAATAGTGTTTTTACTCGTATTCAATTCCTCAGCCAACATTCTCGTAGTAAAATTTGCATCGATACCAATGATTTCACGGACTTTTTCCACCAGTTCAGCCCGATTACTAGTTTCTGGACGTCCTGCTCTAGGGTCGTCATTTAAATCCTCACGACCATTTTTAAATCGTGTAAACAACGTATAAACTTGCGTACGACTCATACAATCATCACTATAAAAATTTTTCATTAATTTTTTTTTTTCAAGTTTGACACAAAATTTTATATTTGCTCTTAGTTCCATTTTTTCTTTGAACCATTAGCACACTTTTGGTTTTATTGAAATGGCTGTCACTTTTACATCTGTCATCCGACTTACATGATGTTAGGTGCGTTTGAAAGAGGATGAATGTATCTTTTTAATGCTGCAAATTTTCAATAGGTGGCGCTGCATGTTGTATGATTTAAATATAAAGTTCGGTTATTTTTAGGACACCCCTTGTATTTTCAAACGATATTAGCATGCTTATTCAGTTGTATCTGCGTTAATGGCTTTGTAAATATTATTATTTATTTAGTCTTTGTGCAAACATGCAAATTCATGTAGACATTTATTTGTATAAAATATTTGTAAATATTTTTGTATATACCTAAACGAGTAAGCACATGCACATATACCCTTAAATTTAGTGCCATCACTTTCACTGTATCACACCATTGTATAGGCGATTTTCAAAATATGTACCGAAATTTGTTTGGTTATCCTTGTCAAATGTCCTTATCAAGCATACTTGCCACGTCTATTTGTTTGCATGCGAATATAATGGTATTTGTTTTTGCTTTTCTCCTTACAATTATACACTCACATTTTTGTTTGGGTCTGCTTTTTTTATTCTTTATAAAATACGCACAAATTTTTAAGAATTCTTTTGTTGCGCCACTTTTACTTGCCGACACTGAGACGAGCATGATGACGGTTTTGATTGTAACCATAATAGAATAAAGAAGGGTCATAATCAAAATTAGTAGACCAAAATAATAAGCATTTAATGTGTATAATAACCAATCTACTAATTAGAGTGGGCATTATTTTGCATTTTTGTACTAAAACCTTTTTAAGGTGGATCATTCGATTACTGCAGAAAAAATACTAGCTGTTAGTGCGGCGGCGGGGGCACAACGGTCTTCAAGCAAGCCGTTCGTTATATAAATGTGTCGAAAATTGAAGCCAACTCACCAAGTAAAGTTTTGTGCTGGGTATGAGGCGCTTAACTTAGAAACCAGCTCCTATGGAAAGTTATACAATGCCTCGTATAAGATACCCTCCTTCTGATGACGACCACATAAAACGTACATATTGAGGGCTGTGATTTAAGGGAATGCACATGAAATGTCATATGCCTTAATAGAAAAGATGGCACTGTTCGTTCAGCTGGTTGATGTCCTCGTAAGAATACAAGCTGTTCACCACCGTCCAAGAAGTGCGATGGACAGGAAAAGGACGGAAACAAGTAGGTGCTTGCGAGATTTACTAGAGCGGCCATATAAGGGAGCGCAAATTTGGTGTCGAATTCCTGGTGGGAGAGAGACTCTGTTATCGAGATTAAACTTCTCGCCACAATCTGCATCAAATACTATTTAACCCCCAAAAAAGTCTCA